ATATAGTCTTTTTACCATGTTTACTAAGGATTAAAGAAAATAGGATGAACATAAAATATTGTTGAAACAATTAGAATCATGTGCATAACAGTGTAGCCGAGACCATTGATTGTTGCGCTAAAATATCCCATTGACTGGGTCAGATTAGTTAAACGTTCGTCTGTAACGCCCACTATTCACGAAGTATTTATTATAGACATTTAAACTGTGGGGTCACCAAAGGGTCAAATATATATATCAAATATTCATGATTTAGGTAATTAACAGTTATTATTAGGGGCAAATTTCAAAGGGATCACACTGTCAAAATACCCTAAACAACCTCAAACATTTAAAATTTTAACTGGGCTTGAGCTTGCACATGGCAAGCAAAGATGTCTTCTAGCTATCATGAATAAAATATGAATTTTACAATGGATGCATGTAGATCAAAAAGTTACAAATAACTGTATTGACATTGAATAGTGCAGTGTATTCTTCTGATGACATGACTCTTGGATTTAGGAAGATTGATGTTTTAACACATATTTATGGAAACATCTTTTGGTAAGTACATTGGATTAGAATTTCCACCATTTTGAATAAGTGTATATGCTCTTTTAGTTCAAAATAGTGATATTTAAAGTGTCTTCTTAACTTTTTAGAGTGGAGTAAAATTTTAGACAATATATTTATGCATTAATTTATATATTATCAAAATGTGTAAGACAGGAGACATATTTATTTTATTATTAAGACAATTTGTTTTAGAAAGTATTACTAATAAAATAAGAATATTCTAATATAATGAATTTGGTATAAAACTAGAGATCTGGGGTATGACTGCAAATAAGACATCCATCCACAAATGACAGATAAATATATATAATTTTTTTTCTGGTTGAACAACACTTTCTGTTTTGAGTATTTCAATATATATCTAAATACTTCACCTTGCATAAAGATTAATATGGCTGCAGGATTAACTAGATTTTATTTACTAGGTAATAACTTTTAAAAAGCAAGGATAAAGCTGGCATGTAGTTTGTTGTGTGTTAAGATCTTTCAGCAGTATTTTGGCTAAATAAAATACACAATTTAAATTTATTTTTTCTACAATGTGTAGTCATCAGTGTGCAATTACCAGATACATGTAATGCTCAACTTTTAAAGACCTGGCCGTCAACTATTGGCCACCTAGCCCTCAACTTTTAATGACCTGGCCCTCAACTATTGACCACCTAGCCCTCAACTTTTAATGACCTGGTCCTCAACTGTTGGCCAGGTAGCCCTCAACTCTAATTGCTCAACTGTTGGACACCTAGCCCTCAACTATGATATTTTCTCAACCTTGCTCAACTAATTTGCATATAGTTGAGCATTTGATTGTTGAGGGCTACCTAATTTGCATGGCAAAAATCCAGGTAGCCCTCAACTGGCCCTCAACTATTTGCTCAACTGATGGCCAGCTAGCCCTCAACTGGCCCTCAACTGTTTGTTCAACTGGCGGCCAGTTGAGCAATGCAGTTGGCCATCCTATCATTTTTTCTGTATGGGTTGTGTTTTGATTTATATTGAATACTTAAACGTTCTTTACTTTTGTTTTTGTTATGTTTTGATAATCAATTTTTATGATATCGCACGTTCTTTCAGCAAAAAAAGGATTTAACTGGCTTTAAAAGTTACAATGCTTGTGTTGATTATTATCTTTTTTCGGACGTCAAAGCAATTTAACAATTGCGGTTGTCCAATTATGTCATCTTTTAACTTTTATCTGGTCAAAATTTTATTTTAAAACGAATGCATGATCAACTTTAAAAAGTGTGCAAACACAAAACATATAGACAAAATATACTTCTGTCCTGTCTTTTTCGTACTTGCAAGTTATTAGACAGTAAAAAAGCTATTTGGATCAAGCCTTGTGAAATATGCATTTACGTTTTTGAATAGGTAAAATGTATAGTTTGGTGAACTTTTCTGCTAACTACTATACTTGTGAAAAACCCTTGGCAACAGAAACATATTCAGCTTTTTTTTTTAATCGACCCAATTTACATAGTAATGGACGACTTCTTACATTTTATGATCGCAAATAAAATATGTATATAATATACTGTGCACTGTAGTTCGTATATTCATTTTTTCTTTTGTTAATGGATTTTCCCGTCTTTCTGGGAGTGATTATTTGTTATTGACTCCTTAAGCTTACCCGCAAATAATTTAAAACCAAGACTTGCATTATAAAAATGTCCAAACAAACCTTGATTTTCCTTTTTTTTTAAATATACATCTCAGCCAAAGATAAGGACTTAAATTCGCCAGGTCTTTAATTTCAAGTTAGTGAGTTGACCAAAGTAACATTGCGGACCATTTGCCAGTTTCCATGCGGTATCCGTGTTTTTTCACTCGCTCTGTTCTGCATCCATTCAACTGTCGTGTTTGTCATAAGGCCATTTGAAGCTTTCATGCTATACAGTGTGTGTTTTGCTTATTGTTGAAGGTCGTACGGTGACCTATATTGCTAACGTCTGTTGACCACTGGAAGGTATTTGTCTGATTGTCTATCACACCACATATTCTTATTTTTATATGTAGTTATATCTATAATAAAATTGAGAATTGAAACGGGGAATGTATCAAAGAGACAACCCGACCAAAGAGCAGAAAATTTGTTTTTCGTTAATTGTTTTGTTGTAGATTAGGCCGTTGGTTTTCTCAATTGAATTGTTTCATATTTTTCATGTCGGGGACTGTTGTAGCTGACTATACGGTATGGGTTTTTCTCATTGTTGAAGGCCATACGGTTGCCTTTAATTGCTTACAACCAATTCATTTGAACTTTGGTGGATAGTTGTCTTATTAGCAATCATACCACATCTCCTTATTTTTATATAAAGTTGTATCAATTGTGACTTTAGAGACATTGGTGTATTGATTTTTGTTTGCGTAACGTCTAGTGTCAAATTTGTCATGCATGTTTAGGACTATTAAATATATTGCAGATAGTTTCGTAATTAAACAGCTTTAGATCTGTTATACGACAATAATACATAAAAAGATAAAAGGTAGGAAAATTAAAAGACCACAACAACAAAGACCATCGAGTCCTGTCCATAAATAGTAAAATAGACGTTTAATCAACAATGAACAACACAAAACCCGGATAGCCGGACGTTTCGCTCAAAATTTAGTGGGGCTAATCCAGTTTAACATGCAATCCCTCCCTGGCTAGACTTGGTGCAGGCACACAATACAGTGGGTTAAATCAGTATAACACGCACCCTCCCCAGCCCGACTTTGGCACAATATGTAGCTGTGTATTGCTGTGTGTTTGTTTAATCTACATAGGCTCAAGGTATATGGGAGGGTTGAGATCTCACTAAACATGTTTAACCCCGTCGCATTTTTTGCTCCTGTCCCAAGTCAGGAGCATATGGCCTTTGTTAGTCTTCATTTTGTATGTTTTTTAACTTTAGTTCATTTATTTGTTTAGTTCAGTGTGACGTCCATTTTCACTGAACTAGTACACATTTTTGTTAAAGGGCCAGCTTAAGTGCGCCTTCGGGTGCGGGATTATCTCGCTGTGTTGAAGACCCATTGGTGGCCTTTGGTTGTTTTGTTTACTCTTTGGTCGGGTTGTTGTCTCTTTGAAACATTCCCCACTTCCATTCTCTATTTTAACATGTAACCTTTCAAACATTTTTTGTCTGTCTTGATTATATTTGTCAATAAACAATAAAAGAAAAATAAACTACACAGTGCAGCTTCCAACAGGATTACAACAAGAAAATTAATTTTAAAAATGCGGTAAACAGTCAAAATTTGCTCGCAGCGGAAAAATGCTACAGCTTGATATTCATTTGAAATAAAATAATTGTAATGATTTACACAACGTTACTTTTTCCAATACCGTAGAAAGGCTTGTATAGTTCGCAGTGGTACATAGTCCGCACCCCCTTCTCCCCACGAAATTTTAGGTAAAAAAACTTTTTGTAACTGTTAGAAAAGGTCTAATGAAACTCCGGTAATTTCAAATCCTGTGCGGTCGTTTGCGGTATTTTCTTGGAAAAACCTGTTTTCCATCATCAAACAGAAGCTGAAACTGCTTGTTAATGATTCTAGAACGCTTCATGATTGTTAAAATAAGTTTAATTATCCGGAACTCTTCACAAACAAAACCTACATGTATGCATTGAATAAATAGTAGGCCACTCTTTTAAAATGATTACAATGTAGAAGTACTTATTCTCGTAATCAATAAGATATTTTGTGAATTAACCCCATCAACTTAAAGTTTTTTACAATGAATAAACGTATTTTTGGAATATTTAATGATATCAGCTCTGAACATTATTACTCTTTAAAATGAAACTGTTGTATGTGATGGTATAAAAAAAATATTTAAAACAAATCTTTTAAAGTTTTGTGAAAAGAAAGTTTCATTTTATGTATCGAAATGTGTAACAAGTGATCATTATTTAAATCCCCAATGAAAGGCCTCTGACAGACTGAGTGAGCATAAAATCATTTGTTATCGATAGCCAATGGAAAACAAGTTAAAGGTAAACAAAAGTTTTACGGTTGTCTACGCTGTTATGAAAACGATTCTATTCTATATAAAAACCTTTATATATATGAAGAGATAAAGAATGCGATTTTGCACTCAATAGTGTCAGTGTAGGCATTGCTGTAAATGCGTTTGAAAAACGCACTCATAAAATCGATAAGCCATTCGGAACAGCCTTAACCTGTCCCTTTCGCCTAACTATATAGTAAAACTAAGAGAGTTTTCGAATAACTAAAATTGGGTGATAGCATAACTATTGATTTCATCCGAGTAAAAAGGGAGAAAATTGTAAAGTTTCAGACTAAAGCAGGAAATTTGTATGCTCTAATTAAGAAACAGAACTTTGTAATGGGATGATACTTAACCAACACAGGATTAGGGTCTAATGAGCTTAAAGTCAAGTGTTATAATGGCACAAACAATGAAGCCATGGTCAAAATTACATAAATCTAACCTCTTCCTCTTTTATTATGTAACTGCCTTTTTTATCAATACTATACTTCTCATCTTGACTGGTTGTTTTCTCTGAACATGTTATGTCTGTTAACTTGTGTTTACTCTTTTCATGTTTACTATTATCTTTATATTCATTGTTTGTTGTTCTAATTATTTCTTCTCCATCTTGATTATTAACCATTCCATGGTTATTTATGTCATTTCTAACTTCACATCCATTTTGCAGATTGTTTTCCTGATCTTTCATTTTTTTCCTCTTTCTGTGTAATTTCAAATTATAAACTTCATTTGTATTATCTGTAGTATTTAAGGATTCACTCAATGAAGCTTTGGAATTCAATTCATTATTTATTCTATCTTTGCTTTTCACTTTCTTTTCATCATCAATTTGTTCTATGTCACTTGTCAATGAGTAAATTTCTTTCTCACACTTTCTTTTTAACCCATGTTTGTTTTGTTTCAATTCTGTCTGGTCTGTTGAAAATTCACAGCAACTTTTGGTATGCTTTAACTTTTTCCTTGGTGTCTGAATTTCTGGGATTTCCGCAGTTATAGACATGTCTAAAACTGTTGTATCATTTAAATCTGAAAGGATCTTTTTTCTTTTCTTCATTTTCTTTTTAGGCACAGTTCCAGACTGATTTTCATCACTTCCAATTGAGACTTTTTTCTTTCTCTTATTAATATTGTTGCTAATATCTGCAGAAGAACCTTCTTCATCAGTTGGTTTCAATACGTTTTTTCTTTTTTCAAATATTCCTCTGACTTTATTTATTTTTTCATCATTTTCAAGTTGTTTTCCCTTGTTCCCTTTTTCAGTGATCAGAGGTTTATCTGTTTTAGCATCCATATTACTAGATGCCTTGAAACCATTCTTCCTACAACAGAGAACGAAAATAAAATAAAGATTCTAGTGGGAACATATACATAAACATTTAGGGTTGATTATCTTACTTAGACTCACTGAATTCAACCAATTAAAATACTGGTGTTTAGAAATTAGAGCACAGTTTTTGTATTCCGAGCACTGAGTAACGTTTTATGACTTTAGGCCCAGGAGTTACCAAATATATTGGACAGTACAACAGACCACATCAACCATCAACACTCCCCAGAAAAATAGACATACTAACACGTACAAGCTACAAGGAACAACACATACATTGGTCAGATTGCCTGACTTGGAAAAGGCATAAAATGTGGTGGGGTAAAACCAATTTTAGGTGAGCATATTAACCTCCCCATTTGCCATTTTAGACCATTTGTCGCAAAAGTAAATCACAAAATAAACAAGGGTGCACAGAAATATCTTGGCTGATTAATTAATTATGATTGTTTATGTTGAAAGTCTTTAAGATAAGGTTTACCTTAAAATCATTCTATACTCATATTGACATTTTATAAATAATTTGTTCTAAACATTATTTATATGATTATTAAACTATCCCACAATACTCTGTTCTTAAAAGAACACTGAAATCTATTTTTAAGATAATGAAAATTTTGAAAAAAAAACTGTTCAAAACATATTATGGGACACAATCAAAGTTGTATAAATCATAGATTCCTCTGTAAATTATGAGGGTATCACCAGCCCTGTAGTCAGCAATTCTGTGTTGACATGAATTCTCATTCATATGGTCAAAATTATAAATTAACTGTTTGCAAAAATTTGAATTGTTCAAAATACTAAGGATTTTCTACCCCCGAGGATAAGATTATGCATTATTTTGAAAAACCTTTTGGAATTTTGTTTTCTCAATGCTCTTCAACTTCATACTTAATTTGGCATTTTCAAATTTTTTTATTCGATCCTCACTGATGAGTCTTCTGTAGACAAAGCTTGCCTCTGCCATACAAAGCACCAGCCTGGTACATCCCTTGGATGGTGTGAACTTCCCAAAAAAACGTGTATGGTGTAATGGTGTATGGCATATGGTGCAATGGTAGAAGGTGTATGGTGTAAGGGAAATGGTGTAATGGTGTAACGTGCGATCGGGAATGGTGTGAATGAATGGTTTACGACATTTAAAAACTATGCAAAATATTGATAAGAACTGATTTTTAATTTTATACATTAATTTACAATATTGTGATCAAAATTTGTTTTTTAAAATGAATAAATAATTTTGTAGTCGCACGCTTTCTTTGAAATTAAATTGCATTATGGTGTAATGTGTAAGGTGTATGGTGCAAAGGTGTAACATGTATGGTGTAATGGCACAGGGTGTGTGGTGTAATGGTGTATGGTGTATGGTGAATGGTGTAATGGTGTATGGTGTATGGTGAATGGTGTAATGGTGTATGGTGTATGGTGAATGGTGTAATGGTGTATGGTGTTAGTGGGAAGTTTACACCATCCAAGGACTATCTTATTAAATTTTTTTTTACAATGACTGAATAAAAATTATTTCCCTTTAATTCATGTAGATTAGTAATTATTATAGAAAAAAGTATCCAAATTAAAATTACACAATAACTTCCTGTTAGAAAACAAAGCAATAAATTATTAACTAACCAAACAATTATAAGAACTAATTATTTATAAAAATAATGTCATTAGGATAGAAGTTTTCAAGTAAAAGTCAGACCTGTTTAAACCAGTTCCTTATATTATAGTAGGTGATGATTTATTTCTATTTCATAACACAGACATTAAATAACTGAAGTTGGATGGTAAGGATTATTTTTATATCACTGCACTTTCTTCACACTAATAACCTATCACTGAAGCAATTAGCAAAAATATTTTACCAGTTGATCAGTTTGTGGAGAAAAATTCAAACTGCAATTTGGTAAACTATTTGAGCAATTGGTATTGTGATAGGCCAAAGCATGGTGGGGTTAAACATGTTTGTGAATGCTCAACCCTCTCCCTAACCTGGGACAGTGGTGTAACAGCACAACATAAGAACAAACTACAAAAATCAGTTGAAAAAGGATTAACTCATCAGATCAATACAAAGAAGATAAATTGCTTCGCCGAGCGCAGCTTTATACGACCGCAGAGGTCCAACCCTGAACAGTTGGGGCAAAAATGGACACAATATTCGTGCTTGATACAGGTTTGAATTTGGATTGTAATTCAATATTTGACATAATAGGTTTCTGACACAGAATAACTGTAGTCAAAGAACTTAGAATTGGTTATATGATTTGAATTTATATTCAATTTTTTGCTTTTGTGCAATACACCCCTCCCCCCACAAAAAAAAAAAAAAAATTTACCCCCCCCTTTTTTTTTGCTTTTGTGCAATAAACTATGCTGTTGCATATTAACCCCCCCTCCACCCCCCCCCCCCCCCCCCACCCCCCATAATTTGAAACCATAATTACCCATTTAAATTAACCATAATGCTAACTTAATCTATTTTATAATAGAATTTAAAATATGGTGTCAAATCTTTCATATGGATTTTTTTGTAAAAAAAAAAGATGCAACATTTGCAGATATTTTTACTGGTCTTCCTTTATAAATATGCATTTCTTTATGACAATACGAATACTAAAAATCCAGGATGAAAATAAGTCATAGGTACTTTAATTCAGTCATGGACCCGCAATGTAGCGGGTGTGTTCTAGTATAGTATATGAGAAATAGATCAAACCACAAAAACTGAACATTGTCCAATGAACCTGAAATTGAGGTCAAGGTCAGATGAAACCTGCCAGAGTGACATGTTCACCTTATAATCATTCCATACACCAAAGATGGTTGATCTATCATGTCTATTGCTTACAGCATCTGAGATACAGACCTGACCACATAACTTTAACTATGATCACTGATCCATGAAATGAGTTTGAGGTCAGGTGAACCCTACCTGACGGACATGAAGAAGTTTATAAATGGAAAAGTTGCTGAATTTTTCATTTCAGTTCTCTAACTTTAGTTTGCCTCAACCAAATGTTATGAAACTTATACACAATGCTTATTACCACAAAACACAGATCAAGTTTTATTTTTGGTGGTGTCACTTTAACCATTCTAGAGTTATGCCCCTTTACAAAGGAAAAATTGCTGAATTTTCCGTTTCCATTCTCTAACTTAAGTTAGCCTCAACGGAATGTTATGAAACTTATACACAATGCTTATTAACACAAAATACAGATAAAGTTTGATTTTTGGTGGTGTCACTTTAACTGTTCTAGAGTTATGCCCCTTTACAAATGGAAAAATTGCTGAATTTTTCGTTTCTGTTCTCTAACTAAAGTTTGCCTCAACCAAATGCTATGAAACTTATACAAAATATTTATTACAACAAAACTCATATCAAGTATAAATTTGGGTAGCGTCACTTTAACCGTTCTTCAGTTATGTCCCTTTACAAATGTACATGATATGCAAGTGGGGGCATCATCTGTGTCCCATGGACACATTCCCCATTTATTGTTCAAGCAGTCACTGAACCATGAAAATGAGGTCAAGGACAATGGACATACAGATGGAAACTTTGTAACATAAGGTATCTGCATACAAGGTATGAAGCATCCAGGTCTTCTTCCTTCTGAAATATAAAGCTTTATACAAATAGTTTACGCCATCATTTCGGGATTGTTATCCCTATGTCTTGCATACTGCAACTAAAAAAGAGAAAAAAAACTAAAATTTGGGTAAAAATAATCTTTTAAAGGGCAATAACTCCTTTGAAGGATTAACTGAAAATTTTGGTCATTTGTAGATCTTACTTTGCTAAAAAAATTTAAACTTTCTCTCCATCTATCATTATAGTTTCTTAAAATATCCCCTTAAATATATTGGCAAAAACTGTCTTTCACAGGCAATTTCAATTTGTCAAACTCAATAAAAGTAAAGGATTTACATCTTTGTTAAAATGTCCCATTTTGGCATTATACGGCTAAAATAAGCATTTTAAAGCAGTTTCCATTTTATGCCTAAGAGCCATGCTGACTTTCTATCTGACAGCTTTTTATGTTCCTGATATTTGTGTTTCTATGCTTAAATCAAATTTAATTAACCATCTGTGAACTCGGAATCTAGAGAAAAGTAGATTATCACAGAAAAATGTGCAGAATATTTGTATTTATGTCCCTGTTAAACGGCCTGTTTGATGTATGTGAAATGTGAAGAGCTTTGTATATAAAATCTGTAGTCCGTCACAAATATTTCACTAAATCTGTAAAAAAAACACTTTACAATGATCAGTACACCCTATTCATTTCATATGCTACCATAATTTTCTTCTTTAGGATAGTAAGTGGTTCAAATATATGCCAAGTGAGACTAAAACTACATGCAAGTTTTCCATTGAAAAGTGAAAAACTGTCATCAGACCATACTGTCTGCAAAAAAAAGTTGAATTCAAGAGTCCTTTTGCAATTAGACTTCTTGTATCATGACATCTTAGCATAGAAATGAGCAAAAAGTAACAAATTTCAATTCCTTATAGCCTCTGTGTGCATTTTTATATGTAAATATGGGCTACGGCCTAAATCGACTCTAAATAATTCTCAGTCTTACATGGCCTAAGACCATTTTATACTCATGTGGTATGCTTTTTGTAACTTTTCTTTACATTTAAAGTACATTTAATATATATGGAAGAATAATGTATGGTTAAAAACTTTCAAAAACTTCAAATTGGTTGAAAAAAATGCATGTTTTTGTAAGGCTTCCCTTAATTCGAAAATCTCTATTTTCAGGCACAGGCTCATATAAATTTGACTTTTGAATAACTGTAATAAATCTGATAAATCAAATGAGTGTTCTGTTGCTTTTAGTACTTATTATATTAAATTCAAGAGTATCTAAAAAGCAAATTTTTGCAATATTTAAATTTTTTAGGCCAAAATCTTGACAGTTGAAAATATTTGATTTAAACGTCAAAAATAAACATCCAAATTTCAATATTAAAATGGCCCTAGTTTCTATAATATATATCCTATGGCCATGAAACTTGGCCAACTATCTTAAAATTGCCTAAGCTATAACTTAATATTATCAATTTTCAGACCAAATATTAAACCATTCTAATTCATAGAAGCCAAGAAAACTTTGACGAAAATTTTCCGTGTACAATAAGTGTTGTAAAATTTTAAAGTATTAGCAAATTAGATGTGGCTATATGGCAAATGTAAAAATTGCTAACTGGCTACAACTCAACATTATCAAGCTGCAAACCAAATATTCAATCATGAAAATGAGACAGAACAGAAAACCTGCTGAGAAATATAAATTTCCAACATCAAAATTGTTATTTGTATTTGCTAAATCTTCGGAGCCTTTAGAGGGTCCAGACTGCACGCAGAACCAATCTACACCACTGACTGGTGTTTTTAACACTTCAAAATATGCATGTGCATGCAATGTCAGTTAACAATTAATCATGTTAATGGTAAACTATACTGATTTCAAGGAGCAAGTAAATCATGTTCATGTATTATAATCTAATTTCTTGCCCTTAGTCTCTCAGTGATTACTGTAATTGGTTTGATTGCCTTTACATACTTATGCAAAAGAAATTAAAAAGAACCCAAAATATGTCCTTCAATCTCATTTTTTTTTTCGATTTGGGTGGGGGGAGGGGGAACCCTGTTCTATATGGATGATATTCACACTAACTTTGTTAACATTAACGCTGGTAAAACATACCCAATTTTCTCTTTCATAATAAATTTATGCAGCTTTTTCTTGAGATTTTTCTTTTGATTTTTTGTAAGATTATTTTTTTCATTTAATATCTTTCTCAAAGCCTCTGTAGTGTACACAATGTCCATTGATGTTTGTTTTTTCTTTAAGTTCTCAACCATCTTTATTTTGGAACAAGGTTCTTCATCATTTGATGACCTCATCTTTTTCTTTGTCTTTCTTTTCTGATATTTTTCTTCTAAACTGTCATCCTTGAGAATTGTTTTCTCTTTTTCTTCTACAATTCAAAAAAAAACTGTTGACAAAAGAGGTTTATGTATACATATGTCTTGCCTGTATGTAAATTTCATATTATAATGCAAATGTTTAAATAAAAATTCATAAGGGATTCCGCAGAACCCTGTGTCTCGCCTGCGATTGCTGCTATCAGTGTAGAAGTATAATGTTGACTTAAAAAGTGAGACCATTAATCAGTAAAATACAGAATTAAAAAAAAATTCAAACTTTTTCTTTAGATGCTATTTCATGGTCTTGAAGATTAGCTTCTGTTCAAATTTCATAATAATCCATGAAGGTTTAAAAATTTATCATGTCAAAAAAGTTTAATCCCAGACTGTGTGTAAACATGATAAATGTTAACTGTAAATAACTAAGTCCATCTATCAGAAAAATACTGAAAAAAAAATTTATATATTTTCAAAAGTTTGCTTCAGACATTATCTCTTAAACATACAAAAGCTTGTGCCAAAGTTTCATAAAATTCTATGAAGGTTTGAAAAAGTAATTGATGTGTAACAAACTTGAACTCCAGACTGTATCTTTTTGTTAACTGTAAATAAATTGCTTCGCCGAGCACAGCTGGATACGACCGCAGAGGTCCAACCCTGAACAGTTGGGGCAATAATGGACGCAATATTTGCGCTTGATACAGGTCTGAATTTGGATTGTAATTAAATATTTGACACATAAAAGGTTTCTGACACAGAATAACTGTAGTCAAAGAACTTAGAATTGGTTATATGATTTGAATTCATGTTCAATTTTTTGCTTTTGTGCAATACACTTTGCTGTTGCGTATTAACCCCCCCCCCCCCCCCCCCCACACACACTTTTTTTTTGCAAAAAAACTAATATTTGAAGAATTTTTCTTTTTAATTTCTGAAATCTGAAATGAGAAAAAATTGACCCCCCACAATTTCTTTTTACCCCCCCCCTCCCCACCTTTTCCCCCCAAAAAATTCTTTCCCTCAAGATATGGTCATAATCTCAATTCAAATTTCCAATGGAGTTTGCATCCATCATTACCCATTTAAATTTACCATAGTGCTTACTTAATCTATTTTATAATAGAATTTAAAATATGGTGTCAAATCTTTCATATGGATTTTTTAAAAATCTTTAGTTTATTCTGGATCAGTTCTATGGAATGGACTATCATACAAAATGCATAAAGCCCAAACACTTTTACTTTTAAACAAAGTATCAAGAAGTATTTGACACAGTTTTCTACAATGTATTATTTTGATTTGTATATAAAAAAAAGGTTTACTACATGTATCTCTTTAACAGTTTCATCTTTTATAATATGCTACATTGAACTAAATGATTGAAAATTAACTGTGTAAACATGGTAAATATCTGTTTTTGATTGTTTTATTAGTTTGTTGTTTTTAAACCAGGTCAGGAACTCCAGATTTCCTGATGTCAATATATATTTGTATAGTAATTTTCTAAATAGAAGGTAAACATAGCTTTGAAAAACTGACCAATCAAATTAATGAACTACAATGCATTGTGGGCTACTACAATAAAATTGAGAATGGAAATGGGGAATGTGTCAAAGAGACAACAACCCGACCATAGATCAGACAACAGCCGAAGGCCACCAATGGGTCTTCAATGCAGCGAGAAACTCCCGCACCCGGAGGCGTCCTTCAGCTGGCCCCTAAACAAATATGTATACTAGTTCAGTGATAATGGACAACATACCAAACTTCAAATTATACACAAGAAACTAAAATTAAAAATGATACAAGACTAACAAAGGCCAGAGGCTCCTGACTTGGGACAGGCGCGAAAATGCGGCGGGGTTAAACATGTTTTTTTGAGATCTCAACCCTCCCCCTATACCTCTAGCCAATGTAGAAAAAACAAACGTACAACAGTACGCACAGTAAAACTCAGTTCAAGAGAAGTCCGAGTCCGATGTCAGAATAGGAAACAAAAGAAAATAAACAAAATGACAATAATACATAAATAACAACAGACTACTAGCAGTTACTGACATGCCAGCTCCAGACCTCAATTAAACTGATTGAAAGATTATGTCTTCATCATATGAATATCAGGCACAATCCCTCCTGTTAGGGGTTTAGTATTATACCGTCATATAATATATGAGAAAAACATAACCCGTGTCATGCCAACAACTGGTTTTAGAATAAATATGTTTAATTCCGATGCAAAGACCCTATAAGTGAATCAATATTAAAGCCAAAATATGCAATCTTTAATGACCTGACAACAGTATCGTAACTATATCCCTTCTTAATTAGTCTGTTTAAAGGTTTTGTTAGCTTTTGAGGTGAATACTAACATTTTTGTGCTTTGTAAAGAATATAACCATAAAAGATTGGATGTGAAATACCTGAACGTATAAGATGTCTGCATGTTGAGTTATATTTACGAATGATGTCCTTATACCGATGATAAAATTTAGTAAATGTTTTGACTAGTTTATGATATCGAAAACCCTGGTGTAATAATTTTTCAGTAATACATAAATTTCTTTCGCTAAAATCTAATACCTTGTTACATACACGAGCGAATCGTACAAATTGAGATATATAAACACCATAAGATGGTGACAAGGGAACGTCACCATCTAAAAATGGATAATTAACTATAGGAAATGAAAAATCATCTCTTTTATCATAAATTTTTGTATTAAGCTTCCCGTTAATGATATAGATATCAAGATCGAGGAAAGGACAGTGGTCATTGTTAGTATTAGCTTTATTTAAAGTAAGTTCAACAGGATAAATTTCTTTAGTATACATACTGAAGTCGTCAAGTTTACTACCACTTAAAACATGTGGAATTAGTGGGAAAACTGTCAACTTATACATGTTATATAGTGTCTGGGACTCTCATAATAAATATTTTTGTTCAGCCAATTTATTAAATGTAAAATGTATAACATAGTCTTCAATTTGCATGCTCAGAATAAAAAAATATTGTTTATTGGTTACACGATTCGACTTTCTTTTTCGCCTTGTAAAAGTAGTTGGACAGGTTTTGTCCATTGTTATGCATTGTATCTGTGCATTAGTTTTACATGAAATAGTGAAATTTCCAATGAAGTGATCAATGTCCAGTATAAAAATCATTTGAGCTCTTTAAAACCTGTCAAAACGGTTGCAATATTGGGTTACATGCCTCTATATATATGCTCTTGATTTTTTTTGTATCCTGTATAATGCCATTAAAAACACTGCTGCTTCGAAAAACACAAAAAAATAAAATGCTTCGCTGGGCGCAGCTTGATACGACCGCAGAGGTCGAACCCTGAACAGTTGGGGCAAGTATGGACACAACATTCAAGCTTGATACAGCTCTGAATTTGGATTGTGATTAAATATTTGACACAGCATAGGTTTCTGACACAGAAAGAATGTGGTCTAAGAACTTCAATTTTTTTAATTTACCTATTATGGTCCAATGTCCAAAATCAAAATACATGGTTAGATTCAGCATATCAAAGAACCCCATATATTCAATTTTTGTTGAAATCAAACAAAGTTTAATTTTGGACCCCAACTTGGACAAACTTGAAAACTGGTCCCAAAATCAAAAATATAAACACATGTTTAGATTCAGCATATCAAAGTACCCCAAGAATTCAATTTTTGTTATAATCAAACTTAGTTTAATTTTGGACCCTTTGGACCTTAATGTAGACCAATTTAAAAATGGGACCCAAAATTAAAAATCTAAAAGCATGGTTAGATTTGGCATATCAAAGAACCCCATATATTCAATTTTTGATGAAATCAAACAAAGTTTAATTTTGGACCCTTTTGACCTCAATATGAACCAATTTGATAGCAGGCCCACAAATAAAAAATCTAAATACATGGTAAGATTCAGCATATCAAAGAACCCCATATATTCAATTTTTGCTGAAATCAAACAAAGTTTAATTTTGGACCCAAATTTGGACCAACTTGAAAACTGGGCCAAAAATCTAAAATCTAAATACATGTTTAGATTCAGCATATCAAAGAACCCCATATATTCAATTTTTGTTGAAATCAAACAAAGTTTAATTTTGGACCCCAACTTGGACCAACTTGAAAACTGGGCCCATTATCAAAAATCTAAACACATGTTTAGATTCAGCATATCAAATTTAAAGAACCCCAAGAATTCAATTTTTGTTAAAATCAAACTGTGTTTAATTTTGGACCCTTTTGACCTCAATGTAGACAAAGTTGATAACGGGGCCCAAAAATCAAAAATCTAAATACATGGTTAGATTCAGCATATCAAAGAACCCCATATATTCAATTTTTGTTGAAATCAAACAAAGTTTAATTTTGGACCCCAATTTCGACCAACTTGAAAACTGGGCCAAAAATCAAAAATCTAAATACATGTTTAGATTCAGCATATCAAAGAACCCCATATATTCAATTTTTGTTAAAATCAAACTTAGTTTAATTTTGGACCCTTTGGACCTTAATGTAGACCAATTTGAAAACTGGACCAAAAATTAAAAATCTAAATACACGGTTAGATTCGGCATAACAAATAAATAAATGTGGTCAAAGATTTTACAAATCTAATGCGCCATACTGTGCAATTAAAGATTACTTCTTGAAATTTTTCAATATTTGAAAATTGAAAAAAAAATAATATTTGAAGAATAATTCTTTTTAATTTCTGAAATCTGAAATGAGAAAAAATTGACCCCCACAATTTCTTTAACCCCCCCCCCCTTTTTTCCCCCAAAAAATTCTTTCCCTCAAGATATGGTCATAATATCTCAATTCAAATTTCCAATGGAGTTTGCAACCATAATTACCCATTTTAATTTACCATAGTGCTAACTTAATCTATTTTATAATAGAATTTAAAATATAGTGTCAAATCTTTCATATGGATTTTGTTGTAAAAAAAAAAGATGCAACATTTGCAGATATTTTTACTGGTCTTCCTTTATAAATATGCATTTCTTTAAACATAATTTAAAAGCAGTGTAAGGGAAGTAACCAAAACGTTGTATTTGGATTACCCCCCTTACACTGTTTTAAATTATCTTAATTGTTTATTAACCATTACTTTATACATAATTTAAAAGCAGTGTAAGGGAGATAATTTCAATGATGTATTTGAATTATCTCCCTTACACTGCTTTAAATTATGTTCTGTACTAAAGTATTTGTCCATTAACCAGGACAACCTTGTTTTTCCCCCTTTTTTGCCCCTAATTCTGAAACGGTTTGAGCCATAACCCCCCAAAGCAAATCCTAACCATCCCTTTGTGGTATGGAAACTTGTAGTATAATTTCAGAGAGATCCATACACTGTTACACAGTTATTGTCTGGAAACTAGAAAATGCTTATTTTTGGCCCCTTTTTGGCCCCTAATTCCTTAACTGTTGGTACCATAACCCCCAAAATCAATCCCCACCTTCCTTTTGTGGTATTGAACCTTATGGTAAAATTTCATAGAGATCCATTCACTTAAACTAAAGTTAGAGTGCGAAAACTAATGCGTCTTCGGATGACGACGACGACAGACAAGGACGACAACGACGACGACGCCAACGTTATACCAATATACGACCACAAAAATTTTTTTGCGGTCGTATAAAAATGTGTTATAAAAAGTGGAGACGGTAAATAGCTGAACATATTTTGTACGTTTTTGTCCGTAGATGAAGTCCGTCTGTTGCCGTCTATCCCAAAATACCTTTTTCAATAAAAGTGAAACCAGTCCATTAGACTTACACCTGGTCATTATGAATGAGTCGCACCATTCTGACCGAACTGGGCCTTTATGGATTTTGAGTTGTTATCAATTTAAATGCATATAATGGGAAAATAAAGTATTATGAAATTAAAAATTTCAAAAAACAAATATCTTATTTGACCCTATGAAAAGTTAATATCTTTTGATAAAATATTTTTAGAATAAATAAAGATGAAATAGATTACAAGTCAAAATTTATTCAACTTAAATTTTTGTTTCGTGAAATAGTTTTTTGCAAGCGGGGGTATCTTTGATCACTAGATCACCTATTTATACTTATACCACCGGATTCATGGTCAAGTGGAGGTATATCATGTATATAGTGATGAGAGTCCGTCCGTCCAGCTGTCCATCCATTCGTCCGTTTATTCTTCCGGAACGATATTTTTCACTTTTGTATCCACAAGTCCAACCTCTTTAACCACTTATCATAATGAAATTAGGCCTCATATTCCTTACCATACAATGCCAATTTTGCACTTCATATTTTTTTTTTTGGTCAAACTTATTTTATGTGTTTCTATTTCCTAAACATAAACTTTGCCATTGCTTCATATTGTATTGCAACTCCTCCTAAACCACTTATCATGATTTAATGATTCTTTCTTAGATTCGTTATCATATAAGGCCAGTGTGCAACTCATATTTGGTTTAGGGTTAAAATACTTTATGGAATTCTATAGTAAATATCTCATTTCAAGATAATGGAAAACCATCTTTCTGAAAGGTATATGTGTTTGTTTCTCAGAGACAAAGTAATAAATACATACCCTTCTTCGATTTAAATGACTTTTTAATCATAAAAGTAGGTAAAATATCATTTCATCAATTATGTGAAAAGCTGGGACATTTAAGTGACCCCAACTGATATTTGACACACATTAAGTCTTCCCCTTTTTTGAGAACCTACTCAAAATTCCAGGATCCCTTATTTGTTATCTAACTGAATAAATTCAAATTCATCTTATGGGTAATTGTGTTTTTCACTGTTGTTTCGTTGCTGTCTTGTGGACAAATATCTGAAATCTTTGTTTAATCATCAATAATATTAATGGCTATATTTCGGGTAATTCAAGCACTCGTTTCTTTGCATAGAAACAACTATTCGTTAATCTGAGCATGGAATGAATACTTTATATCACAAACTATAAATGTAGATAAAAAAGTTGAAAAATTAATCGAAATGGTTTATCCTGCAATGCATAAAAAAATGTGTTGTATTACAGTAAATAACACGGTTCTCGGTTGATCGTAAACACGTAGTAGTCCATCATGCATTGTTACCTATTTATGGATTGGTCAAAAATCCAGGTAAAAATAAAATACGTTATACGTTATACGTAAATAAACAATTATATTTGTGAAGATATTAGTATACTAATTTATGCATATCCGTATAAGGTAGTGTTCCCGACCTGTTTAACTATAAACTGTGTTTACCCTCTTTAAACAAAGAATTTAATATAATTATTATTATAGTGTAACAGAACCCTGGGCTATGTCATCTTATTTTGCATGTGCAATGAAAGACAATATTGAGGATCGGATAAATGCACAAATACAAAAGATATAGAAATATTTCATTAAGGTAATCATAAGTTAATAATTTAAATTTTACCTTTCTCAATATTTACTTGTCTATGTTTTAATTTGGTCAGCTTTTTCTTTAGTTTTTCACCAACAAAACCAGACATCGTTTTCTTCCGTGGTAAACCCAAAGTGAACACCTGTAAACCATTCTTGCTGGATTCAAATGGCACATGTTTGGTTTTGCTGGACTTTGCCACTTTTCCATCTCCATCATTTTCTTTTTTCCCCTTTTTTTTTGATGTTTTTCCAGAGTTGACTGCAATATCATTTCTTTGAAAATAAAAAAAAAGTATCATTATATCTTAAGTACAAAAAGAATTAGAAAAAAGTTGGAGGTCCAGACTTAACCAGACTAATTTTCTTATAGTGGTTCCCTTTGAAAAAGTATTTAGAAACATAATGCACCTCATGATCATATTTCTGCAAAAAGATATTAAATCCTCCCAAATGTGTAGCCTTCTTATGTCATAAACCAGAAGCTCCAAACTCCAAAGAGTCTGTATGAGTAATTAACCAGTTTTTGTATAAAACTGATACAATGCAACAAGAATATTTGTGATGGAATAGAAACTGTGTTTTGTTAAAAAAATTTGTCTTCCTGATCCTGTTTGCCAAGTTATAGTGTTTAACATGTTCAAGATAATAGGCAAAAGTGAAAAAAATAGTTGAAAATTTGATAAGAGCGAAAAACTCGTGCAAGAGGATTGATGAAAGCACAATATATAGGATCAAATTATCCATGGTATTGATTTTTACCAAAGTTTGCTAACAGAAAAAAGTCCAAGGAACATGATGAACAGAGACATCCATAAAATAAATAAAACAAAAATATCTTTACATGAAATGAAAATATAAAACAGATTTATGTTCAGCTTCTCATATATATGCGAGATCACCTCCTCCAGTACAACCTGTGACATACTCTAAATGTTCACAATCTAGTATGGTCACCATCAAATGGTGGCCATTTATTGGTGGTCATAATTGATAGGATGTTGACCATTTATTGGGGTCATAAAGCATTGGCTAGTGGTCAGGATGCATGACATTTGCGAGCATTTGAGGTTTAAATTTTTTATGTTTTGATCAAAGCTTTTTATTACATTTGTGTGCATTCATTTTACAGGTAACACAGGTAGATAAAAAGACAATGCATAATAATTTTTTTTTTTAAATTCAATATGAAAAATATATAATTCAAAAAAAATATAAATATGTTTATAATTAATAACTTTAGACAAATTTATTATGAAAATACGATAAACATATTTATTTTTTTTTATTATATATTTTTCATATTGAATTCTAAAAATATATATTAAGCGATCATACGAAATTCCATTTATAGTGATAACTTAATTTTTAATCCACCATTTTCTACATGAGAAAATACCTGTACCAAGTCAAGAATATGACACTTGTTTTCCATTCGTTTCATGTGTTAGAGCTTTTGGTTTTGCCATTTGATAAGGACTTTCCGTTTTGAATTTTCCTTGGAGTTCGGTATTTTCTGTATTTTACTTTTTAATTGCTAATATTGATGAGTGAATAGTATTCTGTTTCCTAATTTTACTGAATAGTGATGGTTTTAGTAAATAAGTTAAGTCATTTTGTGAAGTTGCATCAATGCTCAAAGATAGAGTTTCAATTGTCAGAAACAAATCAACACTTTTACCTTGCCTATGAATTTTTTTACAGTGCATTGCCAAAGAATTGCAAAGGCATGTCTGCATGATAAAAACTGTAAATAGAAAAATTAAAAAAATAAGAAAATGTGGTATGATTGCCAATGAGACAACTCTCCTCAAGAGACCAAATGACACAGAAATTAACAATAGGTCACCGTACAGCCTTCAACAATGAGCAAAACCTATACCGCATAGTCGGCTATAAGAGGCCCCAAAATGACAAATGTAATACATAAAAACGAGAAAACAAAAGGCCTAATTTATGAACAAAATAATGAACGAAAAACAAATATGTTCATATGATGAAGACATAATCTTTCAATCAGTTTAATTGAGGTCTGGAGCTGGTATGTCAGTAACTGCTAGTAGTCCTTTGTTAATTTATGTATCATTGTCATTTTGCTTAGTTTCTTCTGTTACCTATTCTAACATCAGATACGGACTTCTTTTAAACTGAATTTTTACTGTGTGTATTGCTGTGTGTTTGTTTATTCTACATTGGTTAGAGGTATAGGTGATGGGTTGAGATCTCACAAAACATGTTTAACCCCGCTGCATTTTTGTACCTGTCCCAAGTCAGGAGCCTCTGTCCTTTGTTAGTCTTGTATGTTTTTCTGCTCTTTGGTCGGGTTGTTGTCTCTTTGACACATTCCAAGTTACCATTCTCAATTTTACACAGCAACAAACAACAACCACTGAATTACAGGCTCCTGACTTGGGACAGGCACATACAGAATGTGGCAGGGTTAAACAAGTTTGAAGGTGCCAACCCTCCCCCTAACCTGGGACAGTTGTGTAACAGTACAACATAAGAACAAACTATAACAAGAGTGCACACGCTGAAATGACTCACCTGCTTTACTGACCATTGATTTTATGTTGATAGTCCTAAATCATGTAAATATAAAGCTTTACTACAAGTATCACATAAACTTAAAATGATCCAAGAAAATGAGGTCAAGGTCAGATAAACTAAACCAGAAATACATGTACGCCTTACAATCATTCCATACACCAAATATGTTATTGCTTATAGATTCTAAGGAACAAACTTAACCAGGAAAACTTAACATTGACCAATGAACCATGAAAATGAGGTCAAGGTCAGATGAACCATGCCAGATAGACATGTACACATTACAATCAATCTATGCATTAAATATAGTTGACCTATTGCTTATAGTATCTAAGAAATAAACTTTACCATGAAAACTTAACATTGACCGATGAACCATGGAAATGAGGTCAAGGTCAGATGATACCTGCCAGACAGATAATATACACCTTACAATCATTCCATGCACCAAATATAGTTGACCTAGTGCTTAAAGGTAAAGAAAAATAGAACAAAACACAAAGACTTTACACTGAGCAATGAACCGTATAAATGAGGTCAAGGCCAAATAAAATCTGCCAGACTGACATGTACATCCTAAAATATTTCCATACACTAAATATAGTTGACCTGTTGCATATATAGTATTAGAAAAAAAGACCAAAACACAAAAACTTAACTTTAACCACTGAACCATGAAAATAAGATCAAGGTCAGATGACACCTGCCAGTTGGACATGTACACCTTACAATCATTCCATACACCAAACATAGTAAATCCATTGCTTAGAGTATCTGATACATGGACTTAACCTCGAAAACTTAACCTTGTTCACTGATCCATGAAATGAGGTTGAGCTCAGATGAAAATTGTCTGACAGGCATGATGACCTTGCAAGGTACGCACATACTAAATTTAGTTATCCTATTACTCAAAATAAGAGAGAAATTAACATTACAAATAAATGTGGATAGTGTCCACATGTGGACACAGATGATGCCCCTGCTTGCATATCATATAGTTATAAAGGGACATAACTGAAGAACGGTAAAAGTGACACTACCCAAATTTGAACTTGATCTGAGTTTTGTTGTAATAAGCATTGTGTGTAAGTCCCATAACATTTGGTTGAGGCTAACTTAAGTAGAGAACAGAAACTAAAAATTCAGCAATTTTTCTATTTGTAAACACGCATACATGTAACTCTAGAACTGTTGTGTATAAGTTTTATAACAATTGGTTGAGACAAACTAAAGTTAGAGAACGGAAACGAAAAATTCAGCAATTTTTATTTTTATAAAGGGACATAACTCAAGAATGGTAAAATTGTTGCCACCAAACTTCATACTTAATCTGTATTATGTAGTAATAAGCATTGTGTATAAGTTTCATAACATTTGGTTGAGGCAAACTAAAGTTAGAAAACGGAAACAAAAAAATTGTACTTGATCTTAGTTTTGTGGTAATGAATATTGTGTATAGGTTTCATAATGTTTGGTTGGGGCAAACTTAAGTTACAGAATGGAAACTAAAAATTTTGCAATCTTTCGATTTATAAAGGGGCATAACTCAATAATGGTTAAAGTGACACTTCCCAAATTCAACTTGATCTGTGTTTTATCAGTGGATCTCAAAATTAAACATTGCATTGTATAAAGCATTGATTGTAGTTGATTCAACTATAATCATGGACAAAAGAAGATAACTCCAATTTTAAAAATTACTTGATATTTAGAAGAAAATAAAAATTTTGCAATTTTTCCATTTATAAAGGGGCATAACTCTAGAACTGTTAAAGTGACGCCACCAAAATTCAAACTTGATCTGTGTTTTGTGGTAATAAGCATTGTGTATAAGTTTCATAACATTTGGTTGAGCCAAACTCAAGTAAGACAACGGAAACCAATTTTGGGACGTACGTACGTACGTACAGACGGACAAGGGTAAAACTTAATGCCCCCACCGCTATGGATGTGTACTTAATTGTCAAGGAAATGACATTTACCGACCATATCACTAAATGACAAATATGTCAGTTTTTACGGGTTTTGCTGCGTAAAAACAAATAAAAAGGAATAAACGAAATCCCCGCGACTGTTTTCACAAAAAAAAAAAACCTGAAGAGTAAAAATACTCACAAGCCATAAACTTTCAGTTTAAGGTTGATCAAGGTTACAATCAATTTAAATAGCAGAATTTTTATTCATGAGAGGGCCGATGGCTAAACACGCATAACTGTTATATACATGCTAGGCTTGAAAATCATAAAATTCTTATAAAAAGTAAACGGAAAAAGATTTTATCAGCAATTATTATCGCGTTTTACTGCTAACTTTGACAAATATTTTAATTAAGTGTTTACTGAAAGAATTTCCAACAAAAATTTAATTCAAAAGTTGGTTCCCCGTAGCGGCGGGTGCCGGGGAAGGTTAATTAAATGGCTTTGACCGGAAAAAATATCAAATATTTTGATTAATTGTTTACTGATAGTCCAATGACAAATATTTCATGCAATTCAACAAAAACATAAATTGCTTAACATACGGTGTAAGACGTTTCAGAACTGTTAAGCATTTATACACACATAAATAAATTCAAATCTGGTTCCCATGATAAAATTTTAAGAATAAAAAAAATATTATACTGCTTAGGGCCCATCATGGTGATGCATCCAGAAATATTTTAAGCCATTCGTAAAAAAAATCTGTCAGACGTCAGAGTAATCCGTCGGACTAGGTTGAATGTT